CATGCGGGGGGAATGGGAGCCTCTCTGCCTCCTCCCGATATGGGGGGGGTTACAGTCCTGGCCGGGCGGTCGCTCTGCCGCGGGGACTGCAGAAAGCTTTGCGGGATGCGAGGAATCGATGGCGGCTGGCTGGGCTTGAAAGCTAAACAGGGCCGGGGTTGGTGCGGCTTGAAGGGGAGGCCTGAGTAGGTGCTGGGAAGTTGAGGAGCGTCCCGGAAGAAGTCGGTGTGTGTGTGTGTGAAGGTGTCTATCAGGGCAGGAGAGGACTGTAGATCCCAGGAAGTCACCAAGATCTCAGCTCTAGGGGAGGAAACTTCTACAGTCTTATTTTACAAGGACACTGTTTCTTTATTTAATAGACATGCATGGCTTGTCCTTCAGACAATGGTACTCCCTCCTCATATTTTTCCCCCAACCACCATCCTGCATGGTAGGTTGGGCCAAGAGTGATTACTCCAAAATCCCCCAGGGAGCTTCTGGGGTTGTGGGGGCCCAGGATCTGGGTCTCCCTGCTCGTAGTCCAGCACCTTCACTACTAACCCATCCTGGCTCTTGAGCTGAGTGCCAAGTCCCCCAGGGATCTTCTATGACCAAGGGGGTGCCAGTTGAACACTTTCACCCCTAGACCACGATCGTTCTTGGGTTGAGGGACAGAATCCCCCTGAAACTGCAGGTGGATAACTGTGCATGTTCCGTTCTCTGTTAGGTCTGCCACAAAGTCCACCATCAGGAGTGAAAGCAATGAAGGAGCAAATTTCTATAGAGCCCAAACTGGAAGGGGGACTAGAAGGAGCAGGAAAAGCCACCAGTGCTCTTGGATCTGAAGGTATGATCAAGCAGCCAGGATGGGGAACATCATGCAGGAGCAAAGGGGAAACTTGCAAAGCGAGACAACAACGCTGGGAAGCCCAGTGGCAGGAGTTCCTGAGGACACTCCATCCAGGAGGAGGAAACCCCCTGATGATGTCAGAGATGTCTCCCTGGGAAGACCCCAAGGCCTTCCTGGCCTCCTTCGAGCAGGTGGCCCAAGCCTGCCGGTGGCCCAGAGGAGAGTGGGCGGCCCGTCTCCTGCCCGCTCTGAGCGGAGGAGTGGAAGAGGCCTTCCAGAACCCTGGAAGCCAGAGACCAAGAAGATTACGGGAAGGTCAAGGCCGCCATCTTGCGAAGGGAAGCCCTGAGAATGGAGATGCAGCGGCAGCATTTTCGGCAGTTCTGCTGCCAGGAGGTGGGAGACCCCAGGAGGCTTTATGGCCAACTCCAGCAGCTGTGTCTCCAGTGGTTGAGGCCGGAGAGACGCACCAAGGAGCAGATCCTGGAGCTGCTGATCCTGGAGCAGTTCCTGGCCAGCCTCCCACCAGAACTGCGGAACTGGATCCAAGCCAGGAGGCCAGACACGTGTTCCCAGGCAGTGGCCCTGGTGGAGGACTTCCTCCGGAGCCAGGAACAGACTAGATCAGGGACATGGCAGGTGAAGTTTCAAGAGTTAATTCTGAAGGTTTCTATTAAAGAATATAGATGGAAGTTGCTACAGCCATCCACTATTTTTCAGTTGTCAGCTTATTCCTTTCTACTATATAGCAAGTCCAAAATCTTCTGAGCCAAGTGAACTCTGCTTGTTCTATAAATAAATAGTTTGTTCCTTGTAGCCAGACAGATTCATTTTTTTTCAAATGAACCATAATGTTAGATTTTTATTGGCACATTCATTTCACTTTCTTAAGTGGCAGCTGTGGGAATCTTTCCATCCACACTGCGTGATAAACCCTTTACAGTAGTTATCTTCTGTATCTTTGCAGAAAGCCATCCAAGGTAGGTTTGGTTGCATTGAAAAAGAAATTGGCAGCAGAATATTTGCTTTAAGAGCTTCCCAGTGGGTGTGAAGGGATATAGAACTAACCTTGAGAATAAGGGGAAAAATGAGCCCCAGGAAAGATGAATGTGTGAGAAAGAAACTCAAAAAAAAAACCCTCCTTGATTTTGTTCAGTATAACATGGGACAGAGAGAAACTTGGACAGACTTTCAAGGTCCTGTTATTCTACCCTACTACAATAAAGAGCATTCTGGGAATCCTTGCCTTGCCTATTTCTTGACCTCACAGGGCTGATGCCAACCAATCTTAAAAGCTTCTCCAAATTTCTCTCTGTCTTATCTTATACTAAACAAAATCAAGGTGGCCTTAATTCCTTTCTCACACTTCCCTCTTTCTCAAGACACAGTCGTCTTTCCACAATGTCGCCCCTCAGTGGCTCACTCATTCCTTCCTTGTTCTCAAGGTGGGCCCCATATTCCTTCCCAGTGGGGAGAAAAATCAGATGTAGCTTCTCCGGGCCTGAGATGGCCATTTTTCTTTTACCTCAGTTGACAGTATCTAAGACTTATGAAGCACAGGTGCAAAACCATGTCGTTGATATTTACAATATTTCTAGCCTGGGATCATTATATTATA